GGTCTATCCCGAGGTTTTTGGGGTTTATCCCGAGGTTTTTGGGGTTCACTCCCCCCACACCCCGCCATCCCCATCCCCACTCACCTTTTTGACCATGGTGGTCTCGGCCGGCTCCAGCCGGGCCCGTTTGGCCTCGGGTCCATCCTCCACCCCCGCGCTCGCTTTGGCCACCTTGGGCTTCTCCCTGAGCCGGGAAAATCCCGGGAATTCCGTCAGGAACGCCCCAAATCCCGGGATTTCGGGGGGGTTTGTGCCCCAAACTCACTCCACGAACTCGTGGTCGCCCAGGTCAGCGAACATGTAGCCGTGGTAGCCGAAAACGTCGCCGGTGAAGAATTTGATGCCGTTTTTGTGGCAGATCTGGTTGATCCTCACCATGGATTCACGGGAGCAGCAGGTGAGGCACACCTGGAAGGGAAATTTGGGGAGATTTCGACTCAAAATGGGGAGATTTTGACTCAAAATGGGGAGATTTTAACTCAAAATGGGGAGATTTCGACTCAAAATGGGGAGATTTTAACTCAAAATGAGGAGATTTTAACTCAAAATGGGGAGATTTCGACTCAAAATGGGGAGATTTCGACTCAAAATGGGGAGATTTTGACTCAAAATGGGGAGATTTTGACTCAAAATGGGGAGATTTTGACTCAAAATGGGGAGATTTTAACTCAAAATGGGGAGATTTCGACTCAAAATGGGGAGATTTTAACTCAAAATGGGGAGATTTCGACTCAAAATGGGGAGATTTTGACTCAAAATGGGGAGATTTCGACTCAAAATGGGGAGATTTTGACTCAAAATGGGGAGATTTCGACTCAAAATGGGGAGATTTTAACTCAAAATGGGGAGATTTCGACTCAAAATGGGGAGATTTCGACTCAAAATGGGGAGATTTCGACTCAAAATGGGGAGATTTCGACTCAAAATGGGGAGATTTCGACTCAAAATGGGGAGATTTCGACTCAAAATGGGGAGATTTCGACTCAAAATGGGGAGATTTCGACTCAAAATGGGGAGATTTCGACTCAAAATGGGGAGATTTCGACTCAAAATGGGGAGATTTCGACTCAAAATGGGGAGATTTCGACTCAAAATGGGGAGATTTCGACTCAAAATGGGGAGATTTCGACTCAAAATGGGGAGATTTCGACTCAAAATGGGGAGATTTCGACTCAAAATGGGGAGATTTCGACTCAAAATGGGGAGATTTCGACTCAAAATGGGGAGATTTCGACTCAAAATGGGGAGATTTCGACTCAAAATGGGGAGATTTCGACTCAAAATGGGGCAATCCCACTCTGGAATGAAATAATCCTGCCCAAAAATGGGACAATCACGCCCCAAAACTGGGAATTTGCCCCCCAAAACTGGGAATTTTCTGCCCCAAACCCAGGAATTTCTGCCCCAAGCCTGTGAATTTCCCCCCCAAACCCAGGAATTTCTGCCCCAAACCCAGGAATATCCCCCCAAAACTGGGAATTTCCCCCCCAAACCTGGGAATTTCCCCCCCAAACCAGGGAATATCCCCCTAAAACTGTGAATTTCCCCCCAAACCCAGGAATTTCCCCCCCAAACCCCAGGTATTTCTCCCCAAACCCAGGAATTTCTCCCTAAACCCAGGAATTTCCCCCCCAAAACCCGGAATTTCCCCCCAAACCCCAGGAATTTCCCCCCAAAACTGAATTCCCCCCCCCAAAACCCAGGAATATCCCCCCAAACCCAGGAATTTCCCCCCAAAATTGTGAATTTCCCCCCCCAAACCCAGAAATTTTTCCCCCAAACTCAGGAATTTCCCCCCC